ATAGCCCAACTGCTAATAGTGGAGCTTCGACAGCAAATGAACAAACTAGTAAGCTGGTCGGACAGTGCAGAATCACCAACGATACAACCAAAAATATGAGAACACGGATTCCGCCTAATATATGGGTTGCCGTGATTCTAATCAACACCATTGTAGTATTGGGAAGGTAGGTAATCAACTTTCGAGTTTTAGCTTGGGTGTACATGTAGGACTGAATTTGACAATATGATTGCAAACTGACCACAAATGGTGGCTTCCTTTTTGCTTTTATATTTACACCAGATGTGTCTTTGTTCAAATGTTATTTAATTTTTTTTTCTATCCGTGACTTATTAAACTTAATATTGACATGTTTTCCTGCATTAAGTTCCACCGCTTTTACGGCAGTGATGGTGATGATAGGCAACTCGGCTTTGGTAAGTCCTTGGTGAATCATTCGTCTCTTTTGCTAGATAATGTTAAATGACACAAACTCCAAAATTCTTTGTTCTGTGTACTAAAATATTCTTTTCTCAATCTCATGTATTGGTAAATTTACACCAATTCTACCCAGGACAGCAATTAGATAATACATCAACAACATTCTGATGTCCCCTGTATGTACCCTGCAGATGCATGCTTTTCCCTGGTCTCAGAAATGGGATCATGTTAATAAATCTTGTGTTGATCTTGAAAATTATTTTACACAATGTCTTTCCGATAGTTATTACTTGTTTTGTCAATTGATAACCTCGGAAATGTTCATGTTTCTTTGCCTTCAGTCAATGGCCTGGTTGCGTGTAGTTTTTATTAACTAAGAACTGCTTCTGGGGCAAGAATTACAAAAAATCAAATACAGGTCTGGTCTGAAATTCCGTTGACATGGTACTGAAAATATGCTTGTTACTATGTAATGGTAGAAATGCAACATTATGCAGAAACGGACTATCCAACAATTTACTTTTTTTACAAATGGGCAATTTCCCATCATCGTACTGCTCAGAAAATGAATTTCATGATTTTTTTCTGAAGATGCATGGGTGGGCATATTAACTTGATTCTTTCAAGCTTTCTCTCCCCTACAGTAAGTGCGACAAGGTACCCTTATGTTGAATTGTAGGTTTTCTAGCTTTCATAAAATTACAGAGGTGCAAAAAATAAACGTTTGTCCTGAACATCAATCATTATAATATAGTATATGCCAGAAGTATAAATGATGTCCTAAGCATCCCATACCACATTTTAGGTCCTGTTTTTGATGAGTAATCATGAGCTAAAAAAAGGTTTCTGTCCTAAAATTATCCTCAAAAACCAAAATTATGGCGTATACTGTACATTAAATTCGTGAACATGTGTTTTAGGAACGTTGATAGCAGTATCCAAGAAAGGTGCCAAAATATACATTAATATGGACATAACAATAGAACCACTTCATTGATCATTTAAAAGTAGTCCATGCCAAACTGAAATTATACATACAGACTAGATCTCATGCCTTCGCCAAATGACATTAACCTTTGCAATTCTTGGTAGGGATTCCCACAACCCAGTCATTAGATCTGGTGCGCCGGCCAGAAGGTTGTTGACCTAGAAATAAATATGAGAAATACATGTATGAATTCAAATGAAACTAGCAATAACGGAAGAATGGTATACAGTAACTCTTATGTAAATGATATGAAATATTTTGTATCCCGTGTGTCTCTTAAGCCGGCATTTCGAGGGTCCACAAACGGAATCGCCCAGTCCATGGCGGCCCTGGCCCGTCTCCTGGGGCCTGTTGTCTTCGGTAACCTGTTTGCGTGGAGTACAGATAACGGTATGTATAAAGGTCACTTGACTTGGCACAGGAGAAGATAACGTATACAATTTCGAAACAGGATACATATGAATGGTTAATTTCAATGCCATTGTCACAAACGTTGCAGCCGAAATGGAATTACAATTCGAAATGAGACAATCATGACATTTAAATATTTCGTTCAGAGTAAAAAGATTACTAAAAGTGTTTGTCTGAGTATCTTTTACTTCAAGTTAAAAGTTGTCAGCGCAACTATTCGGAGCTAATCAGCAACAAGTATGCTTATTGCCTATTCCATAAATCCCGTTCTATATCCTTCTCTCCAGGCCTGCCATGGCCTCTGAGCTATCACCTCTCCTTCATCCTCGTTGTTCTCCTGAGTCTTCTGGCTGCTCTCCTCTCTACCCGGCTGCCGGACTCCATCAACTGTAAGAGAGAGGAGGAGATCGTGCTGCCTGAGGACACCCAGGACGGAGACCAAGGCTTCTACGAAGAAGGGGCAGAGGATTATTACGCGCAGCAAGCTCTACATTAATTCACTGTTACATGTGTTATCAACGTGTGAAGTTTAGGCATTATGTTTATGGGTCGGTTCTGTTAAATTTAATTAGACACCATCTCCTTCAGAAAGAATATGTGACATACTAGCTGATGACGTGTTACGCCAAGAGACGGTTATACCGACTATACTGTCTTACAGATAAAAAATTTAGATTCCATGCTTAAAGCGTTTGAAATATCCACCGAGGAGCTCAGCGCGTGAGTCTGGAGCTCGTAGCTAGAACCAGGACAGGATACGAAACAACCAACCGTCTTCCGTCTGTGACATCGCATTTTGTCTCACATATATCAGTATGCAGTGTAATAGGATTGATCCAAGAATACTATATCAACCAGGGTATAGCGTATAGTGTACTCGTAGTTTGGTGACATATGATGACATATGTATAACAATGCTGTGTAACTGTGGCAACATACATTGTATTGGAGTTGTGTGACAAGCATTGCCGTAGATGACTAACAACTTAAGGGTCAATGAAACTTCTTAAGTTCGGAATCTTTGCCCATAAAATGATAAGTATCTATGGGTAAGCTTACTCATTGTTATGCTGGGGTCACATTTCCAAAACGGGGCCCGGCCGTGCAGTCTTATGAAACGAAAAGTATTACATAAAAGACAACAAAGCACCAAAAAGTCGACAAAATTAATAATTGGAACTCTTTGTGTATATTATTGATGTAAATTATTGATTTTTCGTTAATCGAAGCAGCCCGGCCGGGCCCCAGTTTGAAAATGTGACCTCAGCATTACTATCGATGCTAACTACAGAAAGAATGATAAAAAAAAGCCGAATGCACTGCTATCAGACAGGATTGTGAATGTTAGCTGTTCTCGCTTCATGTCCGAGATCATACATAGATAGGACTGTAGCAGTAGAAGATAGACGGCTATACTGTAGCAGTAGAAGGTAGATGCAGCCTGCAGCCTGGGATTAAAGGTCTGTTTCCAAACGCACCCATGTGCAAAAGCAGTGCATTGCAAAATGACTTCTGTTTAAAAGTGAACTTTTGGCAGATCATCCTGGGCTGAAATACGGGCTTCCTAATTTGACCCCGATTCAAAATGATTGTTACCTCTGCGTATTGTCTCTAACTACCATGGACTACCCAGGCCTAGAGCCAGGCCCAGAGCCTCGGAGGACGTGATGATCTATTTTTAGGCAAAAATCATTGCGCGCGTGGATGTCATCCATAAAATTCGGTGTGGCCTAAACAGGCAATCATCAAGAACAAAGTTAACGAATACTGGTAAAATTNTCAACAATATACGACGCGTTTAATCTTTCTCTACGCACGCTTTAAGCGAACGGGGGGAAAACCTCCCCCTTTAGCTTATATGCTCCCGAAAACAATATGAAATGTAGCGTTTATTCAACAACAATACAGCGACAATACGACGTGTTTAATCTTTCCCAACGTGCATTTTAAGTGATATGTTTCCAAAAGCTATAGATGATATGTAACGTTTTTTTTTCAACAAACATACGACGTGTTTAATCTTTCCCTACTGGTATTCTAAGTGAACGGGGAGGTAACTCCTCCCTTTAGCTTATATTTTCACAAAAACTATATGAAAGGTACGTTTATTTAACAAATATACGACGCGTTTAATCTTTCTCTACGCACACTTTAAGCGAACGGAGGGAGAACCTCTCCCCTTTAGCTTATATGTTCACGAAAACAATATGAAAGGTAGCTATAGCGTTTATTCAACAAATAAACGACGCATTTAATCTTTCTCTACGCACGCTTTAAGTGAACGGAGGGAGAACCTCCCCCCTTTAGCTTATATGATCCCGAAAACAATATGAAAGGTAGCGTTTATTCAACAACAATACGGTGACAATACGACGTGTTTAATCTTCCCCATCGCGCATATTTCAAATGATATGTTTCCAAAAGCTATGGATGATATGTAGCGGTTTTTTGTTCAGCAAACATACGCTGTGTTATATCTTTCCCTACGGGTATTTTAAGTGAACGGGGAGGTATCTCCTCCCTTTAGCTTATATGTTAACAAAAACTATATGAAAGGTAGCGTTTATTTAACAAATAAACGACGTGTTTAATCTTTCTCTACGCACACTTTAAGCGAACGAGGGGAGAACCTCCCCCCTTTAGCTTATATATTCCCAAAAGCTATATGAAATATAGCGTTTATTCAACAACAATAAGGCGTGTTTAATCTTTCCATACGCGTATTTTAGTGACTTTGGATTATATGATCCCAAAAGCTATATGAAATGTAACGTTTATTCCACAGACATACCACCTGTTTAATCATTCCATACGCGCATTTTAAGTGACGTCGGCTTATATATTCCCAAAAACTCTATGAAACGTTGCGTTTATTCAACAAACATACGACGTTTTTAATCTTACCTTACGAGTTCTTTAAGTGACGTTAGCTTATATGTTACCGAAAGCAATATGAAATGTAACGTTTATTTCACAAACATACGACGTGCTTAATCTTACCTTACACGTACTTTAAGTGAAGTTAGCTTATATGTTTCCGAAAGCTATATGAAATATAGCGTTTAGTCAACAAACATACGACATGTTTAGTTTTTCCTTACGTGCATTTTAAGTGAAGTTAGCTTATATGTTCCTAAATACTCCATGAAACGTAGCGTTTATTCAACAAACATACGGTGTGTTTAATCTTACCTTACGAGTTTTGTAAGTGACGTTTGCTTATATGTTCCCGAAAGCTAAAGGAAATGTAGCGTTTATTCAACAAACATACGACATGTTTAGTTTTTCCTTACGTGCTTTTTAAGTGAAGTTAGCTTATATGTTCCTAAATACTCCATGAAACGTAGCGTTTATTCAACAAACATACGGTGTGTTTAATCTTACCTTACGAGTTTTGTAAGTGACGTTTGCTTATATGTTCCCGAAAGCTAAAGGAAATGTAGCGTTTATTCAACAAACATACGACGTGTTTAGTTTTTCCATACGCGCATTTTGAGTGACGTTGGCTTATATATTCCCCAAAGCTATATGAAACGTACCGGTTAGTCAACAAACATACGGCGTGTTTAATCTTACCTTACGCGTATTTTAAGTGACGTTGGCTTATATGTTCCCAAAAGCTAAAGGAAATGTAACGTTTATTCAACAAACATACGGCGTGTTTAATTTTTCTGTACGCGTATTTTAAATGACGCTGGCTTATATGTTCCCAAAACCTCTATGAAACGAAGCGTTTATTCAACAAACATACGACGTGTTTAATCTTTATCCATGCGAATTTTAGGTAAACTTGAAGTGATCTCTTCCCTTCAGCTCATATGTTCCCAAAAGTTGTATAATTTTGCGTTATTCTATTTTGTCTCTGTATTCAAACTGGCAAATACTGTCCGTCCGTAACATGTTTATGATGTTACCTACTCCGTCCTGGAATTTTTAGGTGTGAAAGTACGTGGCCGTTGTTTCAGGATGGACAAATCAGTTGTCGGCGGCGAATGTAATGAGAAATGAATGTAAATGTAAATGTAAAAACGTAAAACATGGAACAAGTATCTGCGGTGTGTTTCGGTAAGATGCGCTGACAAGGCATGGTGTTTTTCAAAATGTAAATTTATTCAGTGCCAAGCTGTGAAAAAACAACACAGTGGTTCAAATGCAAGATAATCGCCATATGGGGGAGCCGATATCTGCCAGATGGTGTGTCATGTGACAGGGTATTATCCAATAACAGACAACGGTGGGATTTTGAAATCTACTGGATATGCAAGACGCGAGCACCAGGGCTAGCATTTTACAGGGCGCGGTTTTGAAGACAAGTACGGGATAGAAGATTGGACCAATTCCATCAGGACTCACTGCAGGTTATGGACGAGATTCAGTTGGTTTTAATCACCCTGAACCCCGACGGAACGGACACAAAACTAGGGCACATGGTCCTCGTTCTGTACAAGTCTACAAAACGGATTGGGGTGGAGATATGGAACACGCGTACGGCACGGCACGGAATGAGAAAACATCACGACCGTATATTTGTATCGGCGACCAAGACCGGGAGTCATATCGGTATCTGTATTCGCGAAACTGAGCGGATAACTTCTCCAAGCCTGCGGTGGCCAAATGGACAAATGGCTCTTTCAAAGTAAACTCTACCTTTGCCTAACGACGTTGGATTCGGAATTACAGACTTGGATACAGCGCAGAATCTTGAAGGAACTTTGCACGGACACAGTGACTTATCGCTCGAGCTCAGCCGGCTGCATCAGCGTGAACAAAGACTATACGACTTGGTCACTAGCCTGGTTTCCAGTCTACCGGGTATGGAGCGGCTTCCTTTCGGGATCCAGGACCTTTTCGCCGCCGGAGTAAGCCAGGCTCCCCGGTATGTTTCGCCTCAATATCGTGCCGCTAAACTTTATCCAGGGAGCCTAACTTCAACAGGACGGCAGGCCCGAAGATAGCCCACCCAAACCGCGACAGGACTGGACACCAAAATGCCACAAATACCTCTGACATACGCAGAATAAACGGCAAGTAAATGCAACAGAATACGCCAACGTTACGCACACTTTTTGGGTAATAAAGACGCAGTTTAAGCTGCTGAAAGTCAACTGAAAATCCAAAAAATAAGCACCATATACGCAACAAATGGTTACCTTTACACACACGTATATTGGCCGTAAAAGTGCTTCAATTAGAAATAAACGTGAACTTTAAATACGTTATAAGAGCATTTTAGAAAGTATTTATGACAACTTTAAGCATCTGAAAGGCTACGTGGAAACCGGAAAATACGGATCCATCCGCACCTATCCGTCATCTTTACACACACTTATATGAGCCGTAATAAATGCTTAAAGAATGAAAATACGTCAACTTTACTTACAATTTAGAAATATTTTCATCATCATTTAAGACATCTTTAAGTGCTTAAAGACTACGTGAAAACCGGAAATAAGGATCCATCCGCACCTTTCCGTCAACTTTACACATACGTATATTACCCTTAAAAATGCTTAAATGATGAAAATACGTTAACTTTACTTACAATTTGAAAATATTTTAATCATAATTTAAGACATCTTTAAGTGCTTAAAGGCTACGTGAAAACCGGAAAATAAGGATCCATCCGCACCTATCCGTCATCTTTACACATACGTATATTATCCTTAAAAATGCTTAAATGATGAAAATACGTTAACTTTACTTACAATTTAAAAATATTTTAATCATCATTTAAGACATCTTTAAGTGCTTAAAGGCTACGTGAAAACCGGAAAATAAGGATCCATCCGCACCTATCCGTCATCTTTACACATACGTATATCATCCTTAAAAATGCTTAAATAATAAAAATACGTGAACTTAACATACAATTTAAGACTATCTTTATCATTATTTAAGACATCTTTAAGTGCTTAAAGGCTACGTGAAAACCGGAAAATAAGGATCCATCCGCACCTACGGAAAGACCACGTAACGTCGATCTTTACGTACTCGTATAAAACGTGTATAGATGCGTAAAGACGGAATATACGTTGACTTTAAGTATAGTTTAAGCATCCGTAAATACCGTTTTTC